CCTGTACGGAACAGGGATAGATGAAACAAATTTAAACACCACTGAGTCTTAGAAAACTCATAACGGCTGTGAAAATGTTTACTTTTTTTGCAACGGACGCTCTTTGGAAACAGGAAATGTGATTCTTTTCTTTTTCGAGATATTTGTAACTGAATATTTTGTTTTTTTTTAACTATTATTATTTTGAAAGAATGAGAGAACCCGGAAACTAGCGTGTGCTGCGTGAATGCATGCTTTTGCTCTGAAACCGCAGCCAAAACAAAAGGCTTACGGGCTGCCACATCCTGTCTCACAGACTAGTTGTCCATAACAAAAACGCCTGGTTTTAGATTCTTTCATTCAATAACGTCGAAGCCAAAACTATCGTACAACAATTGATATTTAGATTAATTTTAAATTTTTCTCTGCCTGGTGGACCTGCTGGCGGCGATATTTTAGCGGGAACGACGAGCGCACGGGATCAAGTGGAGCATGGGGGAAAGCCGGGAGTACATGAAGTCGACTCTTATGTCTCCAATTACGCTTAGCGCGTGTTGCCTAGAAGGTTTATTTATACATTTCAAATGCTCAACAGTTACTTAACGACACGTGCTTTGTGTGCACATATTTTTTTAATATGCATGACACATTTTAGGAATTATTTAATGCAGTAAATACATCGTATTCAGTATTGAATCAGTGAGATATATACAATACGTGTTGGCAATTTTACAGATTTCTCATTCTTCTTACACATTTAGTTTATCATGCCATTGTAATAAATGCTTATAAATTGCTTATTCTCTGGAACTGAACGGTCCGTTTGGCTTTTCTTCTTCTTCACCCATTTTCTACCGAAGCGTTTTAAGTTTCCCTTTTCTGTGGTGCTAGTTTATTCCACTCATTTGTTAATTTTTCATTCTTTTTCCCAGCCCATTTCTTTCTATCCGCATAAAAAAAAAAAAATTCAAAAATTCTACAGGCCTTATTTTCGTTGGTCGCTCGGACCATTAAAAACGAGCTAGGGTGAAATCACTATTAATTTTTTTTTTTCAAAAAGTGACGATGTACAAAGAAAAAAAAAGAAAAAGGGTTGGAAGGCGAGATATAAATGTTCCTCGCGCGTTGAGACAAAATGTTCCATCTCTGAGTCGAAATGTTCTTCCAGCTCCATATTAATATGAAATGATGTTTGCTGTTTGAATTATCTCCGAAAAATCTTCAACACTCTTTACATTGCTTACACTTCTCTTCCACTGAC